CTGGAACTTGAACCTGAACTTTTACTTGAAATGATTAGATTAATTCTATTCGTAAATGTAAACAACCCCCATTCAATGTATTCTCTATGGGTCTAGAAGATTTTAAAAATTGTAGTACATTTTACTCATTATTAACAGCACCATTCATACCATGAAAAATAAAGTAATGAAGGAGAACAGTTTAAATTATCCAGCGTTGTTTGGCTCCAAATTAGACGAGAAACATTAGACGCCGAAAACGACTATGTAATAAAATACGGGGGGTGCCATTTAAAAAAATGAAGTTATGGTACTTCCAAATTTCGAAAAGTTAACGTGCCATACTAAAGTGACCAAACGTTCTAGACAGCCGTTCTCGGCACCAAAACATACTCCATCATGGTGCTTAAGCATGTTCTGAATCCTAAATTGATAACCCAAAAATCGAGTGTACTCTGATTTTTGAACAAATGTCTGCTGGAGCAGATTGTTCTAGAAAAATTCCAATAACTCGAGAACGGCAGAATCAAATTGCAAAAAGTAAAGTTATTTATAAACCTTCAAAATAGACAAATCCAAATATGTAAAAATATATAGGGTGTTCCATTTAAAAAAATAAAGTAGGTGGCGACTTCCAGTATAACTGGAAGTGCTAGACATCTGAAAACATTTTAGTCAAAGAGAACGCAATTGATTATACTTAAATCTGAATTCTCAAATTTTTATTTTGGCCAGAACTCCAGAAACGTCTAACAACCGGTCTCGCTGAGACACCTGTATAGAAATCTTCGAAAACTACCGAAAAAATTGCTCCAATTAAGACATTCTAGAAAACCTATAAGTAAATATGAAAATCTTTTAACCCTTCTTAAGTGGGTTCCTGAAAAATAATCCTGATATTTTTAGGAATTTAGGAATTTACCTTTCGCTAAAGAGGCCCCAGAATTTCCTAATGATGATTAATAAATTAATAGGTTTTAAAGTTCCAAATTTGTGACTTGCCTTGACCTTGATCACTGTATATTTTGATTGTTGTCAGAAGATAACAAAATCAAGGAATATAATTACATACATGATCTAACGGCTCAGAATGGATTCCCTAATAAAATAATAAATAAGCTTTTTAGAAAAGTACATATTCAAGCATATCCACTATATGTTAAACCTGAAAAAACAAAAAACATACACAAGCCTATCACTTTTAACAATATCGTTTTTAAATCAAGTTCAATCATCTCAAAGTATAACATTTCATTGGCATTCTCCAACAACAGTTTACTTCGAATCTTTTCTAACTATCATAATAAAAACAACGATAAATTGAAGGAAAGTGGGGTCTACTCTATTGCATGTTCTGAGTGTGAATGTATTTATGTTGGACAATCAGGAAGAAAGCTTGAAAAGCGAATTCAAGAACATAAAACTAAAGAAAACTCAAACGTTTACAAACATGTAGCAGAAACAAAACACAAAATAGATTATGAAAATGTGAACCTCATGCATAAATGCGAAAAAGGCTTTAAGCTTGATTTATTGGAATCATTGGAAATTCACAAACATAAAGTTAAAAACAAACACAAGTTACTTAATGAACAAATTCAATTGCAACATAAACCTCTTTACATGTCTTTAAAAGACAACATCATAATACCAGCTCAACAAAACAAGTTCTTCCTCTTTCAAATATTTCAATACCTCTTTTCATTCCGAAATGCAACCAGTCGTTTCTTCATAATGATCAAGTATAGAACTAATAACATCTATAACAAACTTTTTAACGTGTTCGTGACTCGTTTATATGTAGAAATGTCATTTACATTTTAAGATATATATGTACATTCGTCGTTTTAAAGAATTTTTTAATGATTGATTTTTATTTAACAAACAAGTTTCCAAAATAGTTTTATTGACAGTAAGTTCACGTTTTATATTTATTTGATTATCACTAACCATTTTTATATATACAGGGTGTTTCAGGTTTTTGTAGCAGGACTTTAACAGTCGATAGATCTTTTAAAATTAACACAAAAACTTCATATAAACATAGGTCGACAAACGCTTTGTTTTTGAGATACAGGGTGTTCAAATTAAATTTTTAAATTGATTTTTATTTAATATTACTCGTGTATTTCAACCGTTTCTTTTCAAATTTGGTATACAGAGGTTTTTTGGCATGAGAAAGACGACTATGGAGTCCGTTTTACTATAGCCGACAGAGGGCGCTCTGTAACGTATTCTTTACGTTTTAAAATAACAATAACTTTTCTGACAGTATACTTTTTGGCTTTTTAAATAAAAATTCTTATTCTGTGTACTTTTTTAAACAAAAAAGGTACTCTTATCAAAATGCGCTAAAGTTGTTCGTTTTCAAGATAATCCGCTTTTTATTATTCGATATAGACCAACTTTATTAGAGGATACTTAACGATAGGTATAATAATGTGTGCCATGGAAACAAAGTAAGTTCACTAATGTTTCAGTTTATTAATGTTTTTTAATCTGAATAATGCAAGAAAAAAATTAAAGAAACTGTTGAAAATGTGAACCATTTTGATGGATTCATAATTCTGACCGACGAATGACTGACCGAGTAATATTATTTAAGAACGGCCTTATGTCATTACAAGCATCCTATTAATAAGTTCATCCCTTGTGAGGACAGGTGTTTCATACACTTTTCCTTTCAAATATCCCCATACAAAAAAATCTAAAGGATTAAGATCTGCAGATCGTGGGGGCCATGCAACTGGTCCACCACGACCAATCCATCTTGCAGGAAAATGGTTGTCTAACCAACTTCTTACCACCCTACCTTTCCTTTAATAAAATTAGTCTATATCGAATAATAAAAAGCGGATTATCTTGAAAACGAACAACTTTAGCGCATTTTGATAAGAGTACATTTTTTGTTTAAAAAAGTACACAAAATACATATTTTGATTCAAAAAGCCAAAAAGTATACTGTCAGAAAAGTTATTGTTATTTTAAAACGTAAAGAATACGTTACAGAGCGCCCTCGACCGGCTGCAATAAAACGGACTCCATAGTCGAAAATTTGAAAAGAATCGGTTGATATACACGTATAATATTAAATAAAAATCAATTTAAAAATTTAATTTGAACACCCTTTATCTCCAAAACAAAGCGTTTGTCGACCTATGTTTATATAAAGTATTTGGGTTTATTTTTAAAAAATCTAACGATATTAAAGTCCTGCTACAAAAACCTGAAACATCCTGTATATAGCTTCGGCTAATGATGGGAAACTGAGTTTTTCCCGAAACTGGTACCGTTAAAATAAATTATAAAAAAGCAAGTAATAAGTTTCATTTTCCATTTTCAAAACGCAGTAAGTCCAATAATTTTGTAAAAATAAAGATTTCTTATAAAAATATGCTATTAATGAATATTAAAAAACAATAAAAATAAAAAAATACCGATATTTCCGAGCTTTATTTGCGAGGTAAGAGCATGAGAATTATTAATTATTTCAATTTATTATTATTTGAAGTTTTGGACTTATGTCCCTTTCGCTTTCAGGTACAGATATACAGGGTGGTTCAGGTTTTAATCGGGAAACTTTACTAGGATGTAGTAGTTGCCAAAATAACACACATTTTTTATATAAACGTAGGGTCGCAACTCTTTTGTTTTCGAGCTATGAGCGATCAAAATTGAACTAAAAATTTACATTTTGTTTTGTATTTTGGCTGTAAGTAAACCGTAGAATTTGAAAATTTGTACGTATGTATTACTGGTTAAGACCTTATTTTCAACCATACCTTAAACTTCCCCAACGCCCTCTAAGGGGATGAAATTCACCACCCCCTTGATTTTTTTAAAAAAAACTTTTAACGGTATGGAATATTAATATAAAAAAATATGGGTTGTAAAGCTCATTCTTTAGTGGTACTTTTTGTCTCTTTAGTATTTTCCTTAAAGTTAATAGTTTCCGTGTAAAAAAATAAAATATCGTGCCATGTACCGCTATGTTTAGCTAAAATTATTCTAAAAGTTGGCTCTGAGAACTTGTAAGTTTCATTTACAATGAATCCTCATAATTGTTGATGGTTATTAATAATTTTTGACTGTTATTAAGCAAGAGTAACAATTTTTTAATATTGTTTAAAACTACGTAATTTGTTCAGACAGGCATTAATCTTATTTATGGTTTTTCTTATGAAAATCACAACTGATTGGTGTTATTTAGTTAGTACTAGATCCTAATAAGTGCACAACTTCCCTAGCCAGGTATAAAGATAAAATTTTTTTTAATAATAGCAGCGCTTTACAGTACAAGGTAGCATATTTTATTTTTTTACACCAAAACTATTATTTTTAAGGAAAAAACTAAAGAGGTAAAAAAGTACCAATAATGAATAAGCTTTACAACCCATATTTTTTTATGTTAATATTCCATGGCGTTAAAAAGTTGTTATAAAAAAATCAAAGGGGTTGTGAATTTCGTCAAACCACCCTGTAGATTTGTAAAATTCTGTCTTAAAATTGTAATCTGCTGGATTGAGTTTAGATAATAAGACCACATATGCTTTCTTATTATCATTGAGGGGAAATAAAATATAGCATAAATTATTCAGTTACACCAGCGGTAGTGTAGTGAAATATTTTTCGCTCAGTAAGATAAAACGAATTTCAAAGTAAATTTTGATTCTTTTGTGACTACAAAAAGGTAGGAGTCTTTAACTTTACATTTATTTTCGTTCTTTTTGATCATGTCTGATCTTTGAGGTTTTATATTTTAAGCCTGTTTCGCCATTCGAAGATAAATATCAACAAGATTTGCAAGATAATTTGGCTTATTTTAGATTATGATGTCATTACAAAAAATAATGTTTTTGGATTTCTGATTCTGACTCAGAATCCCATTCTGAAACATAATCCATTAATTTATATCACTAAAATATAATTAAATTATAAATAAATGACACAAAAGTGATTCTGAACCTCCTTTTTTACTTTTAAATCTATGGCTAACTTCATCCTTAAATTATTCATCTTACCAAATCGTTTGCATCCTTTTGATGTCCAAGACTTTGAGTTTTGTAAAACATTCTCCATTTTTTATATTCAGCTGTAACAGCGGCTAACTTTCTTTTCCAATACTTACCCTCCAGGACAATTGCCTTAAATTGTAATAATAAAATTATTTTTTTTAAATAATGTGTAAAAAAATGTATTTACCTCAGGTTTATTATGTGTATCAACATCTAAAGGTGATGCAAATTGACAAATAAGAGTATTTTGCTTCCTGATAACTGTTAAAGTGGTAAATTTAATAAAAAATGATAAAAATTAATTTATTAAAACGTACATTGCATATGCCAACATCTCCAAATAACATTGTTAAGTCGAATTTTATCCTTCCATCTTAATCGAATTCCTCTAAATCTATTCCATTTTGGTGATGTTAATTTCTGTCTGGTTAAAAAAATAAAAAATTGTCAATACAATTTAAATTAAAAAGAAATTATTAATCAAATAGATAAATCTCCATTTTTTATCATTTTTCTTGATAATTTGTAGTAGAGATATACATTTATATGACCAGATAAAATGAACAATAAGAAAAAAAAACATTTTCTATTGTGTTATCTTTTATGCTTAACAAATTAGATTACACAAAAAATGTGTAATAACTAGTTAAATTATTTCATATTTTGAATTCATTCATAAACTTGATCTTACCTGTAAGCTATAGACATACATTGAAACAAAGTGGATAAACCATTTTCAATAGCAATAGGTTGTAACCGTTTATTATTAACAAAATGATCCATAATCACATTGGTAGCCACAGAACTTTTCTGTAGATCCTTAATCGCAATATCTGGTATAGGAACAGCAGTATCGTCGTCGTCTTGAGCCTCAGCTTCGAAATGAGACACCATAAAATGTCCCGAATGAATCGCTTCCTTATTGTTGCCAGGTGATTCCATTTTGCGAGTATTTTCCGTAACATACATATTGATGGGATTTAACAATCAAATGGGAGGGCCCCCGAACTATAAGGAAAAATATTTTCACAAAAGATGTCGATACAGAGCGTTGTATTTCCGAGACTGATCAGTAATCGTGGCCGCAATAAAGATCAAGGACTGATTAGCTGGGTCACACACACCGAAAAACGGGACTGATTACAGATGTTGTATTACATTTTCCATAAATAACTCCGCCGTAGATAACTCTCAACATACGCGAAGTTCGATACGTTTAAACAGAGCCCCTTTCGCCGCTATCTTCTCCCCGGAATCAATGTACAAAGTTTATGAAAAGTTATTTGGTTATGTCATAACGAACTAATTATTTTTATTTTTAAGAATACTTGTTTGTTTATAAACACGTAACATATTTGTAATCATTGAGGATAAGGTGCAATTTTTAAATGCTTAAATCGTTTTATTGATAGCAAAGTAAACCACTGATACACTTTCTGACATTTCTAAACGCTTTGGAATGTAAAACTGGGTTTTATGCTAATCAATGTTTACGCATAATCTAATTTATTGGAATGTTGCAAATACATCACGTTTTAAAAGAACAAACTTAAATTTAAAAATTTAAATTTAAAAGATTTAAAAATTGTTTAATTGTCACTTTGACAGATGTCAAAAATTAACCTAAAAATTTATGACACTTCTTTATTTTACTAAAAAATAGGGGCAAATTATTTATTCAAAATATTAATTTATTTAAAAATTTGTTATAACTGCAACTTACATTACAAGCTTTATTAGTTGCCTATATAATAAATAATTTATAATTATTAAATTAAACATAAACAATTTTGAAAATGTAGGTAAGAATTTTCTATTTCTACCTTTTATTGAAAATGTTTTTTTTTATATTTTGATTTAACAGTTTAAAATAATGTCTTTGTGACTAAAAGTCGCAAAAAGTCCGTGAGGGTCGCACATGCGCATAAACGAACGGCACCAGCTGTTGGTGCGACTTATCACGACTGTTGGTGTAGAGATAAGAGCCTTCGACAAGGTATTCGAATAAATACGTCCCGTAATCCTTAATAACCCTTTTAATTGCAAAAAATAGAGCATGCACGTTAAATAGGGACAATTTGACTTTATTTCGCTTTGCGTCAAATTTAGTTTCCACAATGAGTCACTCACTCTGTCCGTTTTCCTTCCATCCACCCGAACTTGGTTAATTATACCTACAACGTTAACTTTTTTAGGCAACCGAACGAAATGTCTCTGGGAGTCTCGGCCAGGTTGAAGTACACCAAAAAGCATGAATTGGTTAAATCCCATAGCCAGTCTCAATTACTTGCCAACAAACTTCGACAGGATGGTGTCTTAAATACAGGTTATATTTACTATTTATTTATATTTATATTGAAAAGCATAGAAGACTTTTGCTTTAAATTGAAAAGAACAACCTATTTCATACTTGTTTTATTTTGTTTTAAGTTTGACTTAGGATCTTCATCACTTTGTTGATTTAACCTTAAACTGGGGAAATTATGTGTTTATTAATACAGTAATCACTCTATATAAATGTGGAAATGTTTAAAGAACAGCCCCAAATGTTTTAAAATGTGTGATATTTTAAAAAGTAAGTACAAAGAGCTTCTACACAAAACAAACTATGCCTAAGTGAAAATTACCTGGAATTTGGGTAATTTTGATTTGCTTAGATGTGGAGGAAATTTTTAGATATCTCCGCATATTCTATTACTATCTTTATACCTAATTATTGACACAGATTGTGTATTTTTAAAGTTCAAGTTATTCCTAAAAAATATTCAGTAAAAGCAACATTTTCAATGTTATATTGTGTTAAGTTTTAATTTAAAAACAAAATTACATTAAATTATTTTCAATGTTTTAGTTATTATTCCTCTTTGTAAGTGAATCTAAAGTAAGATTAAAAAGAAGGGTTTTGAATTGTTTAAAAGAAAACTTTATTTTCAAAAGATTTTCAACATGTTAAGAAAGCAAATTTTAAGCTTTTTTATTAAAAACACATGCGAATTACAAAAAAACCTCAATGAAGAGCTTAAAATATCATGAAGTTCATGAAAAAGTATACTCTTGATTAGAACTACAACAAGTTAATGATTTTGTTTGGAACAAATTGCTAAAATTAAAATCTCTTGAGGTGATTAAATTAATTAATTGAGATGAATCATTTGTAACAAGTAGATTTTGTTAGTTTGAAGAGAAAGTCTATTCTGCTATGCTGAAATAAGTCACTTAAATTAATTGGAAAAGATTATTTCCCAATAAAATTTATAAGAAAAATTAGCATAAAAAATTTTCAAAAATATCTACGGGATGAAAGGTAATGAAAGTTATGCTGTGTCTTGGTTCATTCATATCAATTGGTAATTGTAATGATGAAGTGGCAGTAATTCAAAATAGAAAAAGATAAGATTCGTTTGACTAATAATATATAATTCAATCTTAAAAGATTAGGATTTAAGTCAAAATAAACACAGAAGGTGAATGGAATTTTAACGCGGCGTTTATTTCTATGTAATAAATTGATGTAAGTAATAACTGCCATATTTTTCCATGTACCATACCAAGAATAGCTGAAACATAAATCATGAAGCTATAAATTGTAGCATATAAATTTGTCATTATCTATTTAAATGCTTCACGAATTTAGCACATACTTAAAAAGCAATTCATTGCATTGAAAATATTCGCTGAAGTATCCTCAAACAAAAAAGAAGTTTCAAACAAATATTAATAATTTAAATTAACTGTTTTTTCAAAGTAACATTGGATTTGGGAAGAATATTCAATCAAGACTGGCATTTTAGTTTGTTATTAAGTTTTCTAACAATGGGACATTTGATATAAACATAAAGTGTGTTGAGGTGTGTATTTTAAGAGGATGAAACACCCCTCTATGGAGTTTTGTAAACACTCCAATAAAAGAGAATAAACATTATTTTGTAACTATAAATGTGTCAGAGTAAATTAAAAAATAAGTATACAAGTGTGCAAGAAAAACGTAACCTCTTCTTGTTACATATCTTACAGGAAGTTTTTTATATTATTTTATATGCAGGATGTTTCTAAATTGATGTGAAAGATTTCAAGGGGTGATTTTTGAGCGATTTTTTAACTTTTTGTTCAAAACCCCTTTTCCTCCAAGATATAGCCCTCTAAAGTTAAGGGAAAAAATCTGAAACTTTCTTATCTCTTGACATTTTACAACTAACAAATTGTTAGTTTGATCACAAATACTAAAATAATGCTGTAATCAATTTGACATAACTTCATTTCTTTGGCTAATAATAACCAATCTCTGAATTAATTCACTTGAGCCTGTGTTTTATTTTATTTTTTTGTGATTAAACTAACAATTTTAGGAGAAAATGTGAAGAGACAAAAAAGTTGCGTATTGAATCCCTCTATTTAAATCAAGTTTTTAAATAGAAAAATGTAGACGCATTAAAAAGTTCTGATGCAAAGTATTATAGGGGTTGATTTTTTCAACTGATTTATCTGCCAAATTTCATTCTTCTAAATTCCTCCATAGTGGATTTATTAAATAAAAACAATTTTTTCCCCTATCTTTAGAGTGCTGTAACTCGGGGAAAGGGGTTTTGAACAAAAAGTTATATGAGAGACCCCCTTAATTTTTGCTGAAAAATCTTTATAATCAGATCCAATCATCAAAATACAAAATTTCGAAGTTGTCATAAATATTTCTTTAAAAATTGGAACATAATTGGTGTTTACTGTGTAACGAAAAGATAACACAATTATTTGGCATTATCTCCATATTTATGAGTCATAAGTTGAAAATACGTAATCATAAAAGGATGTGGTTTTGATTACGATAATAACAAATAAATATCGCGTATATACTGGAGAAGTGGAAAGAAAAGACGACGTTCTTTGGTCACTATACTATGTACTATACTATAATCTTTATAATAACTATATATTTGGGATCAATATTTGAAAAGTGTAGGAACAAATAGAAAAAAATTAATAGCTATTTCTGAGCAAGTGTTGAAACGATTTATACACGAAGTAGACTTGCGGAAATGGGGTATGGAAGCAAAATTTTAAATCTTCCTGAAAGCGGTTACAAAATTTCAAAACAACGCACAGAATTGTTTCTCGTAAAATAAACAAATTTGTAACCCGTTCATATGGAACAGATACTATTAAACATTAAGAAATTGTAAATGAGTTCATTAATAAAGTAAAACCATTTATTTAAACATATGATATGGTCCGAAAAACGTATTTAATGTCGATGAAAACGGATTTAATTAGGAAATACACGGGAGATGTTCACTGGATTTCAAAGAGAGAAAAAATGTTGAAACAGTTGTTTAATTGGTAAATGTAACAATTCATAGTTACACAATCTTGCATTACTATCAGCATTGGGTAAGGTTATGTCGCCATTGCTGATAGTATTAAAAAAAACCAATGGAAAGTTTGGCCCACAAATGCTGTAAACATTACTTTAACCGCCAAATATTGATATAAAAGTATTGATCTCAGGCAAACTAACCTCTGATATATTTGAGATAGTTTATTAATACTTAATTACCAGTCTTAGGATCGAAGAGTTTGTTATTACTAGATTCATGGGTGGATCATTATCCAAAATTTTTATAAACAAATCTTCTTTGTGATTAAGACAAAGACGTTAAGATATTTATTTTATATCCGTGTGGTTTTTAAATATGAAAAGGGTTGAAAGGAACAATTTTGATAACACCTTATGTGTAAGAGACAGCGTAATTAAAATACAATATCTGGTACATAATCAACAGTCATCATCCAAATATGAAGATTTATTTGCATATGCATGATATAAGAGCATAGAACACTGACCTAAAGCTTTTGACCATCTGAGTCTTGCTTTTTTAAATGAAGATTTGCCATATCCTGATCGAACCTCAGAATGACACCTTCTCCTTTATTTGTTGTTCTTGATGCCATAGGTTCTAGTCTTTTAAGCACTTTAATGACTACTTTCACCATCATCAATAAAAGAATCAAAAGTCAGTCTATTATACCTTCTACGTTTGAAACTAATTTTCTTACGCATTCTAACAAAACATTAGTTGATAATTTTTGTAAGATATATTTATACATTTGCGCAAACTTAAAACCAATATTGTTGCGATTTTTTGTTTGTTTCCGGTTATGTATCTTTTACTGTTGCACTACTGTTAGTAATATTTATTATCGACTTATTAAACAGATTTAAGTCTGGTGTGTTGGCGTATGCTGATGATCTTAAGATATTTCGCCCGATGATCTCGGATGATGACGTAGCTTCGATGCAGTCTGATCTTGATATCTTGGTGGAATGGTGCGATCGTAATCAGCTCACGATTAATGTGGAGAAGTGTAAGGCTATCACTTTTACACGTAGAACCACTCCTATCCCTTCTAGGTGGAATCTCCCTGCTTAAGTTGACCGTATGTCGCTCCGTACTTCACGTTTATTCACGGATTCTGCAGTATACATATCGCATTTCGGGCGCTTGTTTTGCCGAGACTGGAGTATGGTTCTGTTATATGGTCACCGCATTAAATCTCGCATCGTCTTCTATTGGAGCGAATTCAAAAAAGGTTTATAAAGTACCTTTCCTTTCGCGTTGATGGAGTTTATCCTGTTCGTGGCACTGGCTACCAATCTTTGTTGCAATGTCACCATTTGTCTTCGCTTGACACACTCGAAGGTATGATCTCGATGTTAAATTATTATAAAGCTGGTGAGACGGCTTTTCAAAAATCAAAAAATCGGTTGAATGGTTCAGAAGATATTAAAATGTAAACATTTGAAAACGTATTGGCCTCCCCCTCCCTTATTATAACATATATGAGAAATATCGCAAAACAAAAACAATGCGGTGTTATTCAAGCTACTAAATGATGTTGTCAAAGTTATAGCTCATCGTAATTTGCAGTTATTTCTCTGACAACTTTACCAATAAGGATTTTTGTCCCAAACCTCAAGGCCTTACTGTTGTCGAAATACAGCCGCTCCGTACCCTTAGCGGGACACCGCCTGTATAATTGGAAAATTTAGAATGGTGATTAATTAGAAATAATTAAAATACTTCTTGTACTTGCTGTTTAAATATTTATTGAAACCGGTTTCGAAGTATTACTTCATCATCAGTCAAAACCTTAATTAAATGAAACAATAAACCAAAATTAAAATCATCGTAATAAAACAAAAATTACTATTAACTCACGTCAAGTCCTCAAAAAATGTAAATCCTCATAGACCAACACATCTGTTGAAAACAAACAATCAACTAACAAAACATGACTAAGAAACTATCGAAGCAAAATCTTATATTCTACACGTTACAATTTGTCATGAGACAAAATGGAATCTAAAACTTACTTAACAGAAAATTCGACAAATACCGGTTATGCGACTAAAGTAAATTTATCGAAGTTACAAGAAAAAGAAGAAAAATAAATGTTTAAGAGAGAACTACGTTAAGTTACATTTAAATTGCTCACAAAACAAAATGAAAATCTGTAAACAATTTCTTAATAAAATAAAAAATTACTTATTAAAACATTTTTTAGGTATATATTTGTAAAGAGGGGTGTAGAAAATTTCGACTTGTTCATTAAGAAGATCAATGTAATTGTTTTTACTATGTTTATCAATCTCAAAAGATTCCAATAAATCAAGTTTAAACCCTTTATCACACCTATGCAATAGTTTCACCCCTTCGAAATCCATACTATGTCCGGTCTCTTTGATGTGTTTGAAAATATTAGAATTGGGTTTATTTTTATGTTTGTGTAATCGTATATCTAGTCTTCGCCCAGTCTGTCCGATATATACACTATTGCAATCATTGCAGTTGATCTTATAAACACCATTATCATGAGAAGTTTCTTTATTATCATTAAGATGGTGATTGGATAACAAATTAACTATGGAATTCCAATTACTATATGCTAAAGTCACATTATATTTAGAAAATAAACTTTGGGCCTTATCTAAGAGCTTGCAACATGGATTCAAATAAGAATAATTGGAAAAGATTTGTAAGATTTAAAATATTAAATGAAAAATGATCAAAATTAGTTCTTAAACAGAGGCCAGCAAATTTGGAGAAAAGTCAGAAACAAAAAAGACCAAGAGTTGTTGAATTCCAAGGGAGTCATCGGTTACCGTCACTTGAACTTTGTAGCTTTACGTAACTTTCAATTTTGTTGTACTTGTAAATATTTACTGTTTTGTTGTAAGTTTTCTTAATAGCGGTTTATAAGCATTTTTTTAATTCAATATGTTTCTGTGTTCTTCATATAGAGTGGTACTGTATTAAATTATATTGTAATACAGGTGTCTCGGCGAGACCGGTCATTAGACGTTTCTGGGGTTCTGGCCAAAATACAAATTTGAGAATTCAGATTTAAGTATTATCAATTGCGTTCTCTTCGACTAAAATATTTTGAGATTTCTAGCACTTCCGGTTATATCTACTTTATTTTTTTAAATGGAACACCTGTATATTTTTACATATTTCGATTTGTCTGTTCTCAAGGTTTATAAAATAACTTTACTTTTTGCAATTTAATTTGGCCGTTCTCGAGTTATTCGACTTTTTCTAGAAAAATCTGCTCCAGCAGACATTTGTTCAAAAAGTCAGAGAACACTCGATTTTTGAGATATCAATTTGGGATTCACAACATGCTTAAGCAACATGATGGAGTATGTTTTGGTGCCGAGAACGGCTGTCTAGATCGTTTGGTCACTTTACTATGGCACGATAACTTTTCGAATATGTGTAAATTTTTCAAAAAACCCTAATTATCTCCAAAACTATTAATGTTAGGAATGGGACATATAGGATATAAAAGATGTAGAATGAGACACCGAAGACGACTGAGTAATAATATATGGGGGGCCATTTAATAAAATGAAGTTATGGTACTTCCAAATTTCGAGAAGTTAACGTGCCATAGTAAAGTGATCAAACGTTCTAGACCGCAGTTCTCGGCACCAAAACATAGTCCATCACGTTGCTTAGACATGTTCTGAATCCTAAATTGATATCCCAAAAATTGAGTGTTCTCTGATTTTTTGAACAAATGTCTGCTGGAGCAGATTTTTCTAGAAAAAGTCGAATAACTCGAGAACGGCCAAATTAAATTGCAAAAAGTAAAGTTATTTTATAAACCTTGAGAACAGACAAATCCAAATATGTAAAAATATACAGGTGTTCCATTTAAAAAAGTGCTAGAAATCTGAAAATATTTTAGTCGAAGAGAATGCAATTTATAATACTTAACTATGAATTCTCAAATTTTTATTTTGGCCAGAACCCCAGAAACATCTAATGACCGATCTCGCTGAGACACCTGTATATTATTTGTTTTAAAGAAATTATTATTTGATGATTTTATTTATTTTATTATAAAAGTGACAAATAATTAATTTTTTTAAATTTCAGTTGAAAATGTTATGCAAGCTGTTGATCAAGTTGCTTCCTTATTGGCATCATCAAAACCTGTTGATCCTACAATTTCTTATAAAGACAGTATCATTAATTTGTATCAACACTTAAAAGTAGGTTAATAAATAACTTACTATTCTTAACTGATTAAAATCGATTTTTGGTGTTGTAGGTCTATGGGGCTTACTTAGAAATCTTATACCAAGACCAACTCAACAGAGCTTTTGTGGTATTTCGTGATAGATCTCAAGACGATATACGACTCGATTATTTATCTCGATTACACCTTCTCGAATTGATTGAATTACGAGCGAAAGGATGGAAGGGAAACGATATTATGAACCAATACTATCGCAAAAAAGTATGCATTTTTATAACCACAATCAAATATTCTAATCCAATTTTTATTTTTTCAACAGATAGAGCAATCAGAATCTGCCTCAAGTTTGACGGAATCAATGACAACAATCGCTCCGAGCCCGGCACCTTTATTGGGACCTGGTGAAGTTATTAAACCTTCTGGAAAATTTAGTAAACCCACTAGGATCCCTGGAAAAAATTATTGCAAGGATGAGGTTGTTATTAGAAATGCGGATTCTGGAAAAGGTAAAGACATTTTTTTCGTTGGACTTGGAAACCAATGGAGTTAAAAATATTAGAATTGTGGAAAAATATATAAATTGTGTTTAAAATGATTGAGAAATCTTCTTTAGTAGGAATTGAAGGGTAAAAATCTTTTATAGTAATGGGCATAAAGGGCCGTCGAGTTCACATGATTGAAGAACTCAGTGAAACGATCATATCGTTCCAGAAAGGTAACAGTTAGCTGCGATAACTCAGTTAACACATCCGCTTCTGTTTGGTTTATTTTTTTCTCCCCCCTATTTTAAATTCTAATACTATTTTTTTTGCACCAACAATTTCTAATTTTATTATACAATTTTCTTGTTTTCTAAGAGAATTATGCTAATAATATAACATGTTTATTCATCTTTATTAACTCTTTAACATTTAACTTTTAAAATTTTATGGTCCCTTTAAAATAAGATCTTTTGATTTGATTTAAAGGTTTCTTTATTGACAACAAAATATTTTATATTATGTTATGGGGTTAATACTTTGCAAAAATGATATCATCGTTGTGTATAATTCTCTAATTCGATATTCTATTAAAACCCACATGTTTTTTAAATACCCTTTTTTTATAGGCATGTCCACCATGATTTCTACGTTTTTTTTTACGTTTTCATTTTACATAACAATGCTTATTACTTAAAAACTTTTCAAATTTATTAATTTGATTATTACAAATTTTATTAAAACGAATTATTTTTTGTAGTAACTCCAGGTGCTAAAGAACGTCTCGTCCAAATCACAGGTGCAAATGAAGAAAGCATAAAGTAATTATTAAAAAGTTTGATAATTTTTAATTTAATTTATTTCTTTTCGTTTTATAGCCACGCTAAACAATTAATTGAAGATACAATCAAACGTAACGCTTCCCCAGTTAGAGAACACGGAATCGCAGTTGGTGGACCATTAACAGGGTCTAGTTCAAGTATTAATTCTTCTGCTTCCGATGATAGCGCCCTTCCTCAAGTTGCAAGATCCTCAAGAGCTTTACTACATAGTTTGAGTACAAACGATGCTAGTATTGGAGAATATAAGTATACAATTGTAACTGGTGGACATACAATTAAGATTACAGGAGATAATTTGGATTTAGTGAGGGTAAGATTAATAAAAGAAGATTAATGTGATACTTATTATTGTTTGTCTGTTAAAGACGAGTAAATTAATTTTGGATGAATACTTCTCTGGGGAACCAATTCAAGATATAGGCCAGTTTTATAGTTTTGATAGTTTACCCCAAGCAGAGATTGTTTTACCTGTTTCCGAGCCTCTTTCTCCACCTGAATCTCTTCCGTCGCCGAACGTTGTTCCTAATGGACAAGTTGAGGAGCCACCGCAAAGTAAGTAGTTTAAACTTCAATTTTACTCTGAGATGTTATATATTCATTGGAGGCATTCCCTGAGCTACTTTATATGATTTGTAAATGTTTAAATTCGCTATAAAATTAATTTCTTGAAGGATGCTTGTGGAAATATCACCGATTATTAATTAAAGTATCCTCTTTTTGATGCAAAAAGCCGTTTTGAAAAATCACTTTCAGTTCTTGAGAAATAAATTTTTGAAATGAGCGACAATTTTTTCGAATTTTACAATTTACGCCGATTAAGTTTTAAAAATTCGTATAAAATCTAGTTCTTGGAATATGAGTATGAAAATCTCCTAAAGTGTTAATAAAAGTGTTTTCTTTCCAATGAACCAACCCGTTTTGAAAAATAGTTTTTAGTTTTTGAGATAATATTTGAAATTTTGATAAAATTTTCGATGTTGCAATTTTCATCGATAACTTGTAAATTCGCTATAAAATTAATTTCTTGAAGGATCCTTGTGGAAATATCACCGATTATTAATTAAAGTATCCTCTTTTTGATACAACAAGCCGTTTTGAAAAATCACTTTCAGTTCTTGAGAAATAAATTTTTTAAATGATCAACAATTTTTTCGAATTTTGCAATTTTCGCCGCTTAAGTTTTGAAAATTCGTATAAAATCTAGTTCTTGGAATATGAGTATGAAAATCTCCTAAAGTGTTAATAAAAGTGTCTTCTTTCCAATGAACCAACCCATTTTGAAAAATAACTTTTAGTTTTTGAGAAAA